CCACTCCTAAAAATAAAAGTATTCATTATAAACATAGGTATTATTAAAGCATCTTTGGAATTATAATGTATCTATTCTAGCACTATTTTGGGATTTTGTTTTGTTTTTTAATTTTGTCAGATGGTGTATGTGCTCCCTGGAGAGGGGTGGGAAGGGGCTGAGAAAGCATCCCTACAGGGAATGGTCACGTGGCAATCCCTTCTCCTCCATCTCTCCCTTCTTTTGAGATTTTGGGTACATACATACGTGTTGTTGAGTCCAGAACTTGAACTACACAGTTGATGAGGGATCCAGAGGCCCTAAGTTTCACTTTTTTTTTTTGAAGAGGTTTTTGCTATAGGGCACATGTGCTCGCCAGACAGACAGAGACAGAGAGACAGAAAGCGAGAAATCACCCTCCGGGGGGATGGCCACGCCACAATCCTTACTCCTCCATTCTCCTCTCAGGATCTTGGGCATGCACGCACACACGCCTGGTGTGAGTTTAAGCCACCACGTCCAGGACGTGAACCACAGTCGACTACATGGGAGTTCAGCAACATAGCTATTACGCTAACTACTAGTCCCCTAAGTTCCACTTTTTGAGCCAGCCCTAAGTGAACACTTTTTACCTTCAAGAGTTTTTCTTCCAGTGTCCAGGATAACTTAAATGTACTTGATAAACACTATTTTAAGGAATTCTATGTCAGTTTAAAAACTGTCTACTAATAATTAAGATATATAAATATGAAAGCTCTCTCATGCCATCTTCAATTAAGGACAAAATGGGTACATATTCTTTCACAGCTCACAACTTCACAATACTAATAAAAGCCAAATTATACCATTTCATGTATTCGACAATGCCCTAGTCTAGTGCAACAATGCAAAAATAGTTACTACTACTTACCCAAAAAATTCCATGAGAAGAAATAAATCTCACTGAGAAAACTACTACTTCAGTTTTGGACATACTAAATTTGAGGTACTCATAGAACACTTAATGTATATAACGGGAAGCAGATCAGAAGTACAGACCTAAAGTTAGGCAGCTTACGCTCATAAGAATTTATTACTCCCTCCTCTTCTTCGTACTACCATGAAAGTTTTTCATATCCTATTCATGATATTACTTATCTCTCTACACCTTTCTCGATCACTAGATTATATGATTCTAGAAAGCATTTAGGTCCTGCCATATAACAAAAGAAGTCTGTTAAAATTAGCTGCAATATGGGTAGAAAACTATTTCATTTTATTTTTTTTATTTTTTCTTTAGAGAGTTTTGCTATAGGGCACATGCACTCACCAGAGAGAGATAGAAAGAGAGAAATTACTCTCCGGGGGGGATGGCCACACTGCAATCCCTTCTCCTCCACTCTCCTCTCAGGATTTTGGGCACACACACACTGGCGTAAGTTTGAAGCTGCCGCATCCAGGACTCGAACTGCAGTCAACTTCGTGAAAGTCCAGCAAGGTAACCATTACGCCATCTGCTGGTCCCATGATTTCATTTTGTAATTTAAAGACTGCCTGAGTTTAAAACTTAATGAAAAGCTTCTGAACCCTTCCAGCCTACATTAGTCAAAAAACTATAATAAGGAGCATTCAGCAAATGTGCTCATTAATGTGTACTTGGTAAGGGACAGCTTCCGTCATCTCAACCCACCAGCAATTGTTTGACTCCTAAATCTTTACTTAACAATCTGTAGAAATATCTCTCAGAGAATGCTTCACAAGCGATATTTACCACTCTAATTTAAAATATGCTAAGTTCTACCAAGGCTCTAAACAGACTTGGTGCCAGTTCTGTATTTTATAGTAGTAGATCATGACAATTTCATTTGTGTTTGACTAGATAGTTTTCAGTGAGACCATTCCCTAAAAATGACACTACAATATTGCTACTTATTTATAGGGCAGGAAGCCAAGAGAGAAACAGCTCACTGAATGGATGGGAAAGATATTAACAGTATAGGACTGAAAAGCAACAAAATAATAGACTTAGAAGTGCCAAACAGCAGTAACACAGTAACGTAGGGAGTCACAAAAAGAAATTCCCACTACACAATATAAACACAGTGGCTTAAGGCTGCAGTTTCTCAGTTGAAATATACAAATAAGCAGGGATCTAATGTATTCTGATTATAATTTTATATAATCAAAAGTCTAAAGATGTTTACCAATAAAAATATTGGTGAATTAAAAAAGAATTCTCCCAGTTTGAGTCCTATTTCTCTGTTCTGTGAAGAAATTCTTAAGAAAAAAAAAAAATGATGAATGTAACTACTAGAAAAGGCCTCTCTATGAGGTCTGAAATAGAAGGAAAATATAGATTTCTTCCAGAGCTATAGCCAACAATAACTTCTGCATTCTGAATCCAGCTTAGGTACATTAGTTGGGAAGATGTTTGCAAAAGTATTTAACAAGAAAGTGCTGAACTTAGCTTCTATTTTATTATTTTTTTGTTTTGTTTTCTTAAATGGCCTGATGTCCATCAAATGCATTAAGTAAAACCCTTCGAAGTATAAACGATGAAAGTAAAAACTACAGGTTTCTTCTTATGGAGAATGTTTTTATAGATTAGAGGTAATCAAACTTTTTCAGTAAAAGGTCATACTATGAGTATTTTCAGCCTTAAAGGCCATATAGTCTCTGTCACAAATACACAGCTCTGCCACGTAGCATTGAAAGCAGCGACAGACAACAGATAAAATGAACAAGTATGGCTATGGCCCAATAAAATTGTATTTACAAATACAGAAGCAAGCCCATGACTGTAGTTTACTGATTCCTGCTACAGATCATGTTTGTTTTTGATTCTTGCCAGAGGGAGCATGGGTTCACCAGAGACAGAGAGAAAAAATGAGAAAGCATCCCCTATGAGGGATAGTCATATTGCAATTTCTTCTCTTCCATTTCTCCTTCCATTTGGTATTCTGGGCATGCACATGCACCCAGGAAGTTTCTCAGGCCATTGGGTCCAGGACTTAAACTGCAGTTAGTCATGTGGGATCCAGCCATCTTAACCACCATGCCACCCTACCAGCTGGCCCTAGATCGCATTCTTTACCCATTAACAAGTACATTATTTCAATAAGTACTATGAATTTTGAAATAAGATGTCTGGGGTTTTGTTTTAAAATACTTTATTTAAAAAAAGAAAGAGAATAGGCAGAACAGTTAGAGTAGATTGGCAGAACACAATTATTGTTAAAGCCCATTGATAGACACATGGAGTTCATTATACTATTCTCTATAATTTTATGAGCTCAAAATTTGCAAATTAAAACTTTTTAAAAATACAAAGTACATCAGTGTAGCAGTTCTATAGGAAAATGAATTTCCTCACCTTACTATAAACCCTCTATAATATGCTTAATATTTTAAAATATAATTACCACAACACAACATGAAAGATTCTTAACATAAAGCCACTATATTATAATGTAAACACTTAAACTAATCTACGAATGTGTATACAAAGTACAAACCCTTACAATTTTCTATAATTTAAAATACAGGCTAAATTCATATAGCTACTAAATTAATGTTTATTTCTGTCTAAAAGAAGTATTTTCAATTTGGGTTTTAGAATGTAATTTTTATAAGAAATATGTATATTAACACATTAATAGGTTTATTATATTTCAAATAAATGCATAAACAATTTTATTTTTCAGTTTTATTTTCTAAGCAATAAATATATTTTAATTGGCAAAGGACATGTGTGCTTGCCAAAGAGAGAAAGATAGAGAGAAAGAGGGAGAAAGTACCCCCTGGTGGGGATGAGTCACATCACTGCCCCTTCTCCTCCATTTCTCCATCCCATCAGGCTTCTGGATGTGTGCACATGTAGACACACACACACACCCACACACACACACCCACACACATATATATATAAGCCCTGCATTTTCTCAAGGTACTGGGACCAGGGCTCAAACCATGGTTAGCCATGTGGAATCCAGCTCCCTTAACCAGTAGGCTACAGGACTGGCCCTAGTGGCAATAAATATTGCAATAAATATTAATAAATTAAAATCCACATGAACAAACATTCTTTAAAGTTTTCAACAATTGGAGTATAAAAGAATCCTGAGAAAAGTGTCAGAACCTATGACATGTCTTCAATATTGTGAAAGTATGTTCACAAATATGCTCAGAATCATTTTACCTTTGATTATCATCATATAGTGAATTTAATCCATTATAGAGCCTATCAATCTACACTCACAAGAAGAAGACACTTAAACCTTCAACAGAAATATTCTTTTAAATTATTTGATAAGTCATGAATAAGTAGACATAGGAAAAGATGAGCTATGTGTTGTCTGCCCCCATGCAGATAACTGTCTCCTGAACCAGTAACAGAGAAAAACTAACATGTGCCAACAGATTTTTCCAATAAACATGCTACTTCCCATCAAATCAAGATATGTAGCTGAACACAATGCAAAAAGCCAGAAGTCAAGCTGGGTAGTCTTCGGAAAGAAATCTTAATGACTATGCATTTCTCAAAGATTGGGTGTGTTTTTAAATATTCTAAGTTTTTTCCCAGCATTCTGAAACACAATGAATTTCAAATACTACCGAAGCTAAATATGTATTTAAATTAAGTTCCCAAAATTATTATGATATTTGAGAAAAAATAAGCACTTCCCTCTGGAAACATTCTAACTATCCAAGAAAATAACCAGTCTCAAATTATTCTAAATCTGAAACTAAAGTGGTAATAAACAGTCTACAACACAGATTTGGGCAAACAATAACTATAGCAAATATGTCTGCATCTATCTTTTAGAAGATGAGCCAACATTCATTTTTTTAAATACAGTTCCACTGCAGCATTTTTAAACGATTTGCCTCTTCTACATGTTAAAAATGTTATCAGAAACTTTCATTTTTGACCTGATTAAATCCAACTTAGTTCCAAGTTAAGTTTCATAAATTTTATTTCTATTGTGTTTCTTCAAAATAAATAAATCTTAAATAATAACAGTATGCAGAGACATACTTACATCATACTCTGTAATTCTGCTGCAAAGCTTGTAGACTTCCCTGTACTTCTCCCACTGCTTGAAGTGGCAGTAGACATTGGACTAGCTGCCGTGTTATTCATCTAAACAAAAGAGGAGAAATGAAGTTTACAAACTATATTTCAGTATAAATGCATGAAAAAAATGGAAACAATTATACATTTCTTTACCTTGAAAAGAGATTTTTTAATTTCTAATTGTTTTGCATAAATTTTTTCTTATACTAAATATTCATTATTAAAATGAAACAGTAAGGTGGAGAAAACTGCTTGATCAAGTAGGAAAATAAACAATTACTCACTTGAATAATAAACATTTCATTACCTCTTTTGCAACATATAAGTAAAGCACTCATTAAAATACTGAAAAGCATTTGATAGCATGCACAATGTGTTCCAGAGAGACCTAAGATTTATCAGCAATTCTTTTTTCAAAGGTTTTTTGCCATAGAGTGCATGTGCTCACTAGAGAGGCAGTAAGAGAGAAAATGAGAAATCACCTGCTGGGGAGGGGGAAATGACCACATTTCAATCCCTTCTCCATTCTCCTCCTGGGATTTTTGGGCATGCACACATGCACACCAGCATGAGTTTCAAGCCACTGGATCCAGGACTCAAACTGTGGTCGGTCATGTGGGAATCTAGCACTTTAATCCACCACTATGCTGGCCCTAAAATTTACTAGATTCTTTAGGAAGCGCCCAATAACCCTAAGCACACACATCCCCAGTTTCATCTAGACCAAAACTCCTCTAATTTTTCTATTTGAGATATGGGGGTTCAAAGTAAGATTTCATTTAAAGAAAAGAGCTCCACAGTTGTAAAATACAAAATCAGAAAACTACAGCATAATTCCCATTTGAACCAAAATCTAAAATAAAAATAAAGTCAATCAGTATATCAAAACCATTTGTGATATTTTATAATATGACTGATAAATAACAAAATTAATGTTCTTAATTGCCAGAGGGTGTGTGCACTCACTAGAGAAAGAGAGAAAAACACCCCCAATGGGACATGATCATGCAGCAATCTCTCCTCCTCTGTTTTTCCATCCTATTGGGATTTGAAGCACACATGCACACGTGCCCAGCATGTTTGTCAAGTCCCCAGATCCAGGATTCAAACCATAGTAGGTGATATAGAATCCAGCCCCATTAATCACTAGGCCACAAGGTTGGTCTGATAACTCATTCAATTTAAAATGAACCATTTCTTCCCAATACATTTAAGCTGATGTGCAACCTGGATCCATGTGATTTTATTTAATGCATGTAGGATTAAATAAATAAGAATTAATAAACAAGAATTAGCTAGAATAACATTAAAATAAAGTCATAAAAGTATAATAAAGTCTCAGTTATTATATAGTAAGTGCTCAATAAATCTTATTATTTCATGTTTATGTAAACTGCAATACTATAATTTTCCTTAAAATCGAAATACATTGCAGATTCTAAAGAAGAAAATAACGAATTTAAAACATGACAAAATAAAGCAGCACAATGAACTTTAAATATAGTAAACTTAAAGTTTAGAGGACAGGTTCTGGAGTCAGAGCACCGAAGTTCAAAAAACGGCTGTTATGTTGCTAAGACTCTGTACAAGTTACTTAACTGCACTTCAGTTACCTCATTTATAAAATGGGCATGATAATCCCACTCTTCTGGGTTTACAGTGAAAATTAAATGAATTAATACATACAAAGAGTCAGAACAGTATTTTAGAATAGTAAGCACATAATATGTTAGCTGTTATAATAAACAGAAACACCTTAAGAATTCCCCTCTTTTCATTTGCTAAAACCATATATATATATATATATATATATATATACACATGCATATATACAAACACATACACACACGCATGCATAATACGCATAATATAGGTTTAGATCTATTACCCTTAATAACAATCACACAAGTTTTGTTTTGGTTTTGGAGGGGTTTTTTTTAGAGCTTTTTGCCTTAGGGCATGTCTGCTCACTGGAGAGAGAAAGGCAGAGATAGTGAGAGGGAAAGTGAGAAATCATTCCCATGGGAGGATGGCCATGCCACAGTCCCTTCTCCTCCATCTCCTCCTGGGATCTTGGGCACTAAAGCACATGCACCTGGTTTGATTTTCAAGCCACCAGGTCCATGACTTGAATCACAGTAGGTCATGTGGGAGTCCAGTGACATAACCACTACACCATCTGATGGCCTCTACACAAGTTTTTAAAATCGAATATTTTCAGTGGAAGACCACAATGAAATTCAACACATATGAACTAGTTTCTTTACAAAATAAGTTGTTTTCATTGTTGACTTCACTACAACTACTAGTCACTCTAACTCAGAATGTGCCATCCTTGACTCCTGCTCCTATGCCCTATAATTCGTAAGGAGCCAAGTAAACTCATGTTCTCACATCCTTCCCCTCCTGCTCTACTGCTATGGCCCTCTATGAACTCTTATCTACATCTTCTCTCTCACCTTGGGTCTCCACATTGCTGCCACATTCATCTTCTTAAATACATCCTTCACATCTGACCACTCCTAAAAGTAATGACAAATTTAATAAAAGAAACCTACACCAGGGTCACTCATCACAACATGGGATGGCAGGGCTGGGCCCCATGAAAGAAGGCTAGGAAAAAAGCTACTACAGACCACTGTCTGAGATGGGACTTATATGAAGCTTTTGAGAAAGCAACAGGACAAAGCCCTAAGACAAACCGCATGCTAGCTGGATGACTTTATCTGGAATATCCCAATATTCCTCCAGTCTAGCCTGAAGATGCTAATGGCCAGGACAAACCACTAGACAGAGAATGAGAGTGCACTAAGGAAAACCAATCAGCAGACCACACTGATTCCAAACATCTAGAGCCGCACTGATTCCAAGCATCTAGAGTCTCAATTCTAATCATTCTTAACCTGAACATCCTACATAATATAAACACAAAACCTTTATAATTAGAACAGAAAAAGAAAAAAGTTCCACTCAAGTTGAACCTGAAAAATCAAAGTACTATAATGCATAATGAACCTAATGCTAAGAAAGACCATCACTTTTTTAAGCCTAAATTTGTCTGATTTTTTCCACAAAGAGTTTTGTGTTATTTACCTTTTTCTATAAAAGATATAGAGGAATTTACCATTTAAAGCTTGAGTTAAAATTTTTTTTAAAAAATCACATCACCAGTCCAAGACTGGAGTAAAATAGACAGGAAATCAAGGACTTCCATAAACAGCCCTGCAGAATATGAACAAAGTGGGGAAAAAAAAAAAAAAAAAAGAAAGAAAAAGGAAGCTGGATTTCTCATGAAGCTCCGAAAATGTCCCCATTGTCCCAACAGAAGGCTGATGTTCAGTCACATCAGACTTTACAGACATGCCTTTCTGTGATATTATCCGATGGCCAAATGTTCTGAGACACAGCTGGAGTAATCTGCTCCTTTTTCATTTTCAAATTCGGTTACCCTGTTTTAACTTTCACTAAAGAGGAGGTATTTCATGAAACAAATTCATATTATAACCACAGCTTTCTTCAGTTGTCTCTCTACTGCAAATGTTTCATGTCAAGGGTATTTTATCGGTAAGAAGTAAAGGTTCCCCATCCTACTTTATGTAACCACGATCATCCTTTCATAGTCAAGGTATTTAATTTTTAAATCAAACAGGTGAATAACATTTTTCTTGACATGATGAGCTGATAGCTCATTAGACTCTTGAAAGTAATTATTTCCCATACCCACAGTTTGTTTGATGATTTAGATAATTAACTTTTTTAGTCATTAACTTCTTTACACATCAAAGTCCTATCATTCCAATGCTTTATTTCCTTTCTTCCTGACATTTAAAAAAAAAAAAAAGGTCTGTTAAAAGCAGAAGCACTCAAGTCAATTTTCTCTAATAAATACAGTTAACATGGAACTGAAAACCTACTGTAATCTTCTCAATGGGTTAATGTCCTGCAGTTGTTTCAGCTTTCAATTGAAATGCAGCTGTTTGCCATATTTTACAAAATGAACTCAGATGTGCATATAGGGACCTAGATTATTTCAACATGCCACAGTTCAAATGTGAACCCAAAGAACAAGTTCATATTTGATTAATACTATTTAAAATTGATAATTAAGCCAATAGTCAATACTATGTCACACCTGTAAAATCCTTGTGCAGAGAAAAAAACTGGCATTTACCTTTTAATTTAACACCATGAAATTTAAAGACATACCTCTTTTCTCAGAAAATACTGCTACCAAGGAGGGGGAAAAAAGGTTTTAATTTTAGCCAGGTTATAAATCACAGAAAGTGAATTAAACAAAATGCAATTAACATGCTATGGGGTTTCTATTTAGACTTCATATTTTTAGTGACTGTATATAATTCTACGAAGCCTCTTTCGGCTTAGAAGACCTCAAAGAATTGAGGACCTTATAACTAGTTTCTGCTCTCTCAAACTGACACCAAAATATGGACAGTGATATCTACAAGTCAACTGTTAATTAAAATATAGAAGTGTTTTTTTTTTTTTTATCATTTCACCTATTTTACCAATGAGGGAAACCAATCAGCAGACTGCCCTGATTTCAAGCATCTAGAGTCTCAATTCTAATCATTCTTAACCTGAATAGCCTACATAATATAAACATAAAACTTTTATAATTAGAACAGTTTTATTTTCATAAAACTCCAAAGGCAGGAAGCAATTATGGTTAAGCCAATACTATTATAAACTGCATTTCAGGTTTGTTGTTTAAGAAAACACAAGTTACATCATGATCTAAATCTCCTGATGTGAAAAAGAATATCAAATGGTCATTCAATCACTGAGAATGCAAAAAGTAAATTAAAATTTGCAAAATACCGATAAACATGTTTATATCTTGTGTTTGGGAGAACACAATGATAAATTCCAATCTATTAACATAGGGCTCATTGCAAGCAGACTTCAGAAAGTATAAAAATTCCTAGTTATTAAGCTTGTCTAAAGTCAGTCTTCCCTGACCTTCCGAGTCTCCTTTTTTTTTTTTTTTTTGGAGAGATTTTCACTGTAGGGCGCGTGCGCTCGCCAGACAGACAGAAAGAGACATAGAGACAGAAAGTGAGAAATCACCCCCCAGGGGGGATGGTCACAGCGCAATCCCTTCTCCTCCATTCTCTTCTCGGGATCCTGGGCACGCACGCACACGCACCAGGCGTGAGTTTTAAGCCACCGGGTCCGGGACACGACCGCGGTCGACTACGTGGGAGTCCAGCGACATAGCCATTACGCTAACTGCTGGTTCCCCCAGTCTCCTTTTCTATAGCAGTCAACTCAAGTTCTCAGTCTCTCCCAAATCAATGTTCTTTGGAACCTTCAGTCCTACAATGCATCCTGCTTGTAATATCCTCTGAAACAACGCAATACTTCTCTACCTATCCAAATCCCAGTGGTCTAGAAAAGTCGACCTAAGTTCAACATCTCCAAGATGCCTTCCCAGATATACAAGTAAAACGAATTCACTTTGGGGCCAACAGGTGGTATGGTGGTTAAGTACTGGATTCCCACATGAGCTGGGCCTAGCAGCTTGACAAACACGTATGTGTGGGTGCGGGTGTGTGGGTGTGTGTGTGTGCACTCAAAATCCCAAGAAAACAACGGAGGAGAAGGGACTGTGATGTAGCCAACCCTCCTGGAGGGGGGGTGATTTCTCACACTTTCCTTCTGTCTCTCTCCCACATGCGCATATGCCCTAAGGCAAAAACCTAAAAAATAAATAAATTACATTTTCCTGGCATCTCATTATTTGTTGATTAATTATATTAGTTTGACACTACATTAATTATTTTAGCACATGCTAATAAATGTAATAATAAATCTCTGCCCTACACTGAATCCCTCCTCCCATTATTAGCAGATGACAGCATTCTCAAGGAGAAATAAAAAGCTATCATTTAGTGATTCTCTCTATCATCCTCTACCAAAGGCACTGGAGCCTCCTCCCCACTCCACCCCCATAATAAAGATACCTTTGTAGGTAAAAGCCAACATCACTTATGCTTGTGCTATTCATTTATAACAGCTTATTTGGTACCCACTATAGGCCAAACAAAATTCTAAGAGCTAGGGATATAGCAATGACTAAGCCAGACAAAAGAAAAACATAGAAACAAGCACCTAGGGCTAGCAGGTGACATGGTGGTTAAAGTGCTGAACTCCCACATAGCTGACCACAGTTCAAGTCTCGGACCTGGTGGCTTCCTTTCTCACTCCCCCACAGTTCAAATTTAAAGAATAATGATGATAATTAATAAATAAATAGTTTTTAAAAATAAAAAAAGGAAACAAGCACCCAAACTTGAGATAGTGACAAATGCTATAAAAATAAACAAGCTGATTTCAACTAGGTGACATTTAAAATTAAGATCTCAACAGGGCTGAACTCATGGACTGAGGTCAAGGGAGCCAGATCCCATGTAGCTGACTATCCAATTCCTATCTCAGACCCAGCAGCTTAAAAACACACTGGGCATATGTGTGTACTCAAAATCCTGACAGGATGGAGAACTAGAGCAGAAGGGATTGCAACATGACCAGGCCCCATACTGGGTGCCTTCTCCCTCTCCTTGTCTCTCTCCCTCTCTCTGGCAAGTGCATGCACCCTGTCAAAGAAAAAAAAAAAAAAAGATGTGAAGAAAAAGAACTCTGGAGAAACTTAAACAAAAAGAATAGCCACATACCAAGACCCATAGGCCAGCATGGCTAAAGTAAAAGGAATAAAGAAGATATGCGGTAGAAAATTAAGTTCAGAGAGGTAACAAGAAATCAGATCTTATAAAACTTATAGGCCATGGGAGATTAAATTTACTTGAGTGTAATGCAAAGTTATGAGACTTTTGAAAACCATAGTTACTTGAAATGTTATATAGGTTTTTAAAAAGGTAACTTCAACTGCCATGAGAATATACTATAAGAAAGTAAGGGTACAATCAAGGAGACCAATTAGAAAATTGGGGAAGTTATGTAGACAACAGATGACAGTGACTTACACTAGTGTTAACAGGGGGATATGGTTGAAATGGTCATATATTTGAAAAGTATTTTGAAGACAGAGCTGACTTGCTGATGAATTAGACTTGAGGCATGACAGATAAGCAATCAAGGAGGACTCTGAAGTTTGGAGCCTGACAAACTGGTTGAATGAGATCAGGAAGACGAGAAAGAAAAGAAAACAAAACAAAACAGCAGTTCAGTACAGGTCATGTTGTATTTGTGACAACTAGAAGACATTCAAGTGGAGATAAAACCCTGCAGAAGCCTTGTGAGAGATACACAGTAGAATATGAAAGTCATGATCACAGGGTTTTTGTTAAGATGACCGAACCAGCCAGTGGCATGTGGTTAAGGTGACTGAATCCCACATAGCTTACTGAATGGTTTGAGTCCTAGACCCAGGGACTTGAAAAACACTTCAAGTGTGTAAGTGCACATCTAATATCCCAAGAAAAGAATGGAGAAGAGACTGTGGCCTGCCAATCCCCTGGAGAATGCTGTCTTTATTTT